AGATGTTCTAGGTCACTACTTAATGACCATTGCTTTAAATAGTGATCTAAAACATCTTACTTTATTTATGGAGGGAGTATTTTCTAAATCTCATGTTTGATTATGAATCGTCCTAGTCTCCTAGATCCTGTAATGCGGTTGTCCGTACGCTTGCAGCATCTGGGTGCCAGTTGAATAATAAAGCAAGTAGGTTTTGTGCCGGCCAAGCGATGGAGGTAAGAGCATCTACACATGCCTCAAACGTCCGGGCAAACGATTACTGGTCGGTCAAAAAATTACGACCCAGACAAACGCCTTAAATCGGCCTCAAGCATTTGGGCTGATCGACACCTCTTATATCCAATCCAAATCCGAGGTGGATATGAGAAGACCCTGGTGCGACCAGGTGTGTCCGGCACGTCGGACTGACATGCAGGTCCTTTAGAAAAACACTCCAAAACCCTTCAGCATGAAGCACGTCTTTCACGACAGACCGATGGCGCCGCGTGTCGGCGCTCCAACGCACCATGCAAGGCCCCTAGCCCGGCCATTTAAGGCGGACACCGACACTGAAACTCTACCCATCACATTTCCTCCCCTCCGCCGCCACCACCTTCCAAACGTCGTTCACCTCCGCATTTCACTTGCCGGACGCTTGCCGTCTGCCACCACATTCAAGTAGCCACGTGACCACGTTGACAGGTTAGGAGCTACCCTTATCTAACGCCGAAGCGTCGGCTGCAGCTCCTTGAGCAGATCCGGGAAAGACACGAAGCCCAGATCGCCGCAGGGGTACCTCTAGACGCGTTGGTTACGGAGGAAGAGTCGGAGGAGGATGAGGAGCAGGAGGTGGAGCAAGAGGAGGATGAGGAGGACGCGGTGGACACGGATCTGCAGGCGGAGCAGCACACAATTCTCGATTCCCTCCAGTCGGAGGCGGAGGCCAACCACCGTATCCTCCAGCTGGAGTAGGAAGGGGACGTCGTCGAGATGCTTGCCTATATATATGGAGGAAGAGGAAGAGGAGCCCTCCTATGGGCCCATCTACCCGGCGCACGTCACGAAGATCATGGACCTCTTCGACGACGAAGCGTAGTTTAGCTAGTGTGATTTGTGTAGTACGTACGTAAGGATGACTTTCTTTTTTGCATGCTTTGTATAGATCTAAAGAATGAAGTATGAGGTATTCGGATGCATAGGAAAAAGTATAACGTATAACCGGTTACTGCCCGCGGACGCGCCGTTTGACGCGTTGAATTTGGTGTGCCCTAGCTGAGTAGATGCTCTAATGTGCTTGTCCTTAGCGGAGAACGATTCAGCCTGTGCCAGTACCTAATGCAAGAGTTTGCACTCCACAAGAGATAAAAGTTAACAACTCTGACGCATATATCCACCGACACTGGTACTCTTGCACAAACGGAAATAAACATCGATTCAGTCGTGGCCGTCGAGAGCTGGCTCGACGTACATGCATGCACACCACGCGCAGGGCCTGACCACACACGTTCGTACAACCCATCATGCATGGAGACCCAAGCTTTTATTCGATCTAGACACGTATATTTATAGAGGTGTAACCTTAACTCATCAGCGTCGACCGATCGAGCTAAACGCCGGCCACGGATGATCTGCATTCTCCAGATCAGCTGACCCTGGAGCAGTCGACAGAGGCGCCGACGGCATAGGGGACGCTGACGCCGCACTTGGACGGGATGCTGGCGATGTTGCCGGCCTTGAACCCGCTCATGCGGCCGACGGCCATCTTGAGGCAGTTGCACACGGCGCGCCTGTCAACAGTGGTCTGGGTGGCAGCGGCGAGTCTCTTGACGCCGCTGCAGCATACTGCGGACGGGCCAGCGCCGCCACGCGCGTAGGTGAGGCAGGGTCCCAATGCAGAGTTCACCTGGCCGCAGCTGATGGCGGCGTCGGCGGTGTGCGCCGCCGCGAGGAGCATCGCCGCAACCACAGCGACCACCATGATGTGCGCAGCTGCTGCGGGAGCCATATTTGTTCTCTTACGAGCTTACAGTAGTGTAACGGAAGCAGCGGTGGTAGCGATCAAATGGCTTAAATAGGCCAGGTTTCCCAGGAAGAAGAGATAGGGAAACACACTGAAGCATACCTGGTGTCAAGTAAATCGCCGGTGGCAGGATGATTAATTCGACGAGGCTGCAGAGGTTGTTGGACGTTGGGGGCAGATGGATCTACGTACCATTCTATTCGTGATGGAGTGATTACTGAACGGCACCCTAGCTAACACGAGGACCCTAGTTGAGTGGATTAATGATTCTTTGAATTAGGCAAGTGCTAACTTTTGGTGGGGATGAGCACACCATTACACCACCTGCTATAAAGCTTGATTCCTTTGATTTGTACGAAGAACACAGAAATAACAAAAATTACACCCATATTAGTAGATTATCTAACGACGACTATAAGCACTAAAGCGAATCGAAGGCGCGCCACTGTCATCAACCCTCTCTCTTCAGAGTCGGGCCAAACTTATTGTAGTAGACAGTTCGGAAGTCATCGTGTCAAGACTTTACAGGAGCAGCACACCAGAACAAGAACCGTCGCAGATGAAGAGAAGTATAGATCGAAAGGATCCAGTATGTATGCATGCGAACAAAGACTGGATCCAAACAGATCTATCGAAGACCAGCACCAACTGAATACCATGATATCCGCCAGAGACACACCTCCACACGCCCTCCGACGATTCTAGACACATCACCAAAACAGGAAACAGGCGAGGAGGGCCTTATTTCATCTTCGGGGATCTGCCACTATTTTGTCTTCCTAGTCATGACACAAACCCTAAACGAACTCACAAAAACACTATTGTGGATCACTTGTTAAGGATGGAAGGGATACCCCATTATTCCAAGAATTTTATTTGCAGATTGTTGATAGAAAAGGTGAAGACAGCCTTGTTGCGGATCATTTGTCAAGGATGGAAGGGATTCCCCATTACTCTGTTTCGATAAATGATTCCTTTTTAGGGGAGAGTCTTGTGATAGTTAAAAAGAGGGTACCTTGGTTTGCAGATTATGCTAACTTTCTAGTAGGAAAGTATTTTTCGCTAGATATGAATTATAATCAAAGTAAGAAATTCTTTAGTGACCTAAAGTATTGTTTTTGAGACGATCCATTCCTATACAGACATGGTCCAGACAGAATGACATGGCGATGTGTCGTTGAACACTGAGACTGGTGCAACCATATAGGCTTGTCATAGTAGTCCATATGCAGGGCACCACGCTGGTGATCGCACAACAATGATGGCACTTCTCGGTCTAGCTTTTATTAGCCAACATTATTCGAAGATGCGCACATGTATGTTAAAAAGTTGTGATGCTTTCCAGCGTACATGTAACATAGATAGAAGGCAAGAAATGTCTATGCATTATAGCTTGGTTTGTGAACCTTTTGGTGTATGGGGTTGGACTAACTTTGTCCATTTCCTGCTTCTGATGGGTATACACATATTCTTGTAGTTGTAGGCTATACTATCAAGTGGGTGGAAGCAATCCCAACTCAACATGTTGAGACAACTACATCTATTAAGATGATCAAAGATATCATCTTCCCTAGGTTTGGAGTTCCCAAATTTTGAGATGATCAATGATATCTATTAAGATGTTGGAAGAGATGATTGCTTTGAGGTTAGCGGTGAAGAGGCAATCCTTCTAGGAGATGATGGAGCTACACCAAGCTATGGTGTATGAGTAAATGATGGCGCAACAAAATGAATTTACTTCCACGTCAACAAGACCTTGACTTAACTTTGAGACTTACTATATATATGCATCACATTTACTTCGAAAACTTGCTTCTATGTGTGCCCGCTAGAACTTCATTAGAGAAGAGAAAAGAAAAAGAAAGCGGGTTGTAGATTAACAGCCATCTATAGCATAGGTTCCAAGAAACATTGTGAGAATGTAAGATGCCCCATATATTAATAAAATAGTATTTCATAATAACTAGTTATTATGCATGTTGTCAATTAGATTGACTATATGTGACGTGACAACTACATGTAACAACACTACTAAGAGGGTGCTTGAATTTAAGGGACTTATTTTAGTACTAATCATGCTCTTAGAGCCAAAGTGCTCATTTTCACTGCCATGGCGGCATTTATGAGCCACATGACTCATTTTTTTGATTCCATGGCTGCATTTATGAGCCCAATGGTTCATTTCTGTGACATGAGCCAAATGGCCCATTTTTGTGTATTAATCCGTTTTGGAAACTTACTCGGCATTATGAATTTCATTTAATATGTTTGCATTGCGGATGTCTTTGATCGATGTACACATTGCCGTCAACACTTGTAATGCATTTGATAGGTTTTTTCGTTCCTTTTGGACCTGTCTTCTCTCTACACTTATCATGTGCTAGTTCTCATTGAAGTTTTGTGCAAACTTGTCTATATATGCACTAGTGTGAGCTTGTGTCTGAACTTTTCTATATATGCACTTGTGTTTGATGTAAATTGTCTTAAATATTGATTCCAAATGTAAATTGTCTTAAATATTTAGATTTTAGATTGGAAACTTAATAGTATGCAAGGTATCGTCTCAACGGAAATACTTTTAAAATATGTTAATGACCAAAATAATATAATAAGGATTTCGTTAATGTCTCAAGCGTTACCCTTTCTTGAACGAAGTAGGAGAACAACTTGGCTGCGTGCAAACCGCGATTCAGACATACTGACATTATTAAAGGACCCTGTATTTCGCTTGTTCATCATCTATATATAGATGTAAGCATGCATTACAGAATTCCAACAAAGGACACGAGGTCCCCTCAGGAGTACAAGATCACAGCTCTCGTGGCAACAACATCGGCCACAACGTATGATCGAAGCAGCAGCAGTAAAACTAATTTATTAGGGAAACAGTAGAACTAGTAAAGCAGTAAATCAAACGGGGTGGAGCCATGCAGCAAGGACGGCTGGCTTCCACGATTTATTTCGCTCTCACCATGCATCTGAAATGGTTCCGGTCTCACGCTTAACGCACCCTGCATACATCAAATGAAAGTTAAAACAAAACAATCATTTGTTAATTCGTTAACTCATGTGTCCATCAGTCCATGCATGTAATCATATAGATCTATGAAAAGTCCTAAAGCTGTAGCATTAGGGCAACTGGGTAAGTAATTACTTGGAGCAATCGGTTCCTTGGCTGATGGCGTAGGGGATGTTGACGCCGCACTTGCCGGGGATGCCGGCGACGAGGTTGGGCTTGATGCCGCCCATGCCGCTCGCCTGCTGCTTGAGACAGGTGCAGGTGGTCTTGCGGTCGGCGGGGGTGGCAGCGGCCGCGTTAAGGCCACGCACGCCGCTGCAGCAGCCGCCGCCAGGCACACTCACCCTGCCCATGGCGTAACTGATGCACGGGGCCAGGTAGCTCACCACCTGGCCGCAGTTCGCAACCGCACCCTCGGCCGGCGCCGGTGCCGCAGACAGCACGAGCGCCGCCACCAGCAGGGCCAAGGCCGCCGCGGCGTGGGCACGGCGAGCTGCCATGGCAGAAACTAGCTAGTGTGCTTGCTCTGTGGGCTTAGTTGGTGTGTGAGTGAAGGCCGAGGGACTGTGAGTGAGTGGGTGAGGATTTGGGGACTGGCTAGGAGGGTTTTTATAGTGGTTTTGGGCCGGGTGGTCGACTGGTAAGAAAACAGTTATTACTACGCGGAGTACGGCGGTGAGGTAGCTGGTGGTAGTTGGGACATATCTCTTCACTTACTAGGGATGGATTCATTCATGGCGCCTGCAGATGGCAGAAGAGCCGTGTCGACGTCTAACATACGTATCTCTTCACTTATCTCTGCAGTTCAGGAGGGCAAGGATGGAAGCCCGCACTCCACTGTCTGCATACGCGACGAAGCCTGCACTTCACCATGCACATAGGTCACGAGCTTTTGCCCGATTTTTGTTTCAAAAAGATCAAGAACAATTATAAAGGTTCACTGGAAATGTAACCTATTAGGACTTCTCGAGCAGGTGTAAGATATGTGTTGATAAAATTTATTTTTTTCGCAAATACGCAAAGCTTGCGAATCCTACAGCTCCTCCTGGTAGCATGGATCAGCTAGGCGCTGGAGGTAGTGCCTCCATCAAACACGCACGAATTGCGATGCTTTCAAATTGACCAGGGAACGAGAAGAATGAGCGAGGAAACGCCTTTCTTGTAGGCTGCCAGGACTGAATCGTACGTAGTGTGCCACCGATCCAGAAAGATATTTTGTGGCGAGGGAACCCGAGCATGGTGAAGACACCAAGCGAAAGTGTCGTGCTAGATTTGTCTCGAGAACGGGCAGCCCACCAGCAAGTGCTCCATGGATTCTGGTGCCTGGTCACGGAGCAGGCTGGACAGGACGTGTGATGAGGAAGGTTGTGTCTAGCCAGGTGAGGGGCCGTCCAACACCGGTTTTGCAGCACGAGCCAAGCAAAAAATTTGATCCACAAAAGCGCCCATGATTTCCAAGTGAGCTACCAGTGGGGAGCGTTGATGAAGCTGAAGAGGCCCAAATAGCATGACTTCACCGAATAGATGCCGATGTCGGTCCATCACCGGCGCAAGGAGTCAGGCACGCTGATGATATGACATGAAATAAATAAGAAGATAGGGTAAAATTGCATATAGATTACTACTAGTAATCAACAACCTTTGCACTAGCTCCAAGACAAAATATACTAGAACAATCACATTTATTCTCACTTCCTACTGAGAGCATGCTTGGATACGTTTTAGTCCCATGACTAAAAATAGTGTGACTAAAACTTGCTAGTCTCACCCATGCTTGGATCCAAATACTAAAGAGACTAAAATCTAGTTATTGAGCATTTATTATCCTCCAAACCCTCCAATCCAGAACTAAGGAGAGGAATTAAATGAGGAGAGAGAGAGCTAATACATATTTTAGTAGGTTTCCCATGACTAAAAGATTTTAGCCTCAAGACTAGTCCTAGCCTCTCTTTAGTCAGGGGTGCTTGGAACTTTAGCCTCTAAAAGAGACTATTTTTAGTCAGACTAAAAATAGTCCCTTGTATCCAAGCACCCTCTGAACAATTTAGATAGTACAAAATATTGAAGTAATTGTACGATTATTCATTGATTGATTGATGACATAAACATTTAACAAAGCTATATTTAACTTGTTGAAAATGCCTTCAAAATAGCGAATGCTTGTTCGGTGGAGTGGGTGGCTGTTATTTATGTACAACTACTAGAGAGTAGTCATTCCTAGCTACACAGGCTCCATCGTGCGTCCATGCATGCATGCATGTTTCACTGTCAGGCACTAGTACAGTAGATGTGGCGAAGTACACTGTTGCAGGCTTAATTGCTGGCAGGCTAGCCAGCTACAGTACTACTGCCATGCATAAGTCCACGTCCATGCGGCACCCGTACAAGAACTAGCTAGGCGCGCATGTGTGCATGTCTATGGAAAACAACCAACCCATTTACATGGAGTGACAAACTAGGGGGAAGGTCTTGGAGATTATGTACTATATCTGCTCCAAATATATGGACCCGTGTGTGTAGACTTGATTCTCAGAGCGAATGCGAATGTGATGTGCAGGGATATCATGCCTCCAGTGAAAAGAATTACGGAGGTGATTTGTGTACGCACATATACTCCTTTCGGTCATTTTTACTTTGCATATTAGGTTTGTCCGAAATCAATTTTATCCAACTTTGACCAAGTTTATATAAAAAAATTATAGACATTCACATAACAACATCAATATCATTAGATTCATCTTGAAATATATTCTCATATTATATTTATTAGATATTATAGATGCTAATAATTTTTAATATAAATTTGGTCAAACTTAGCAAAGTTTGACTTTCGACAAATTCAATATACAGAGTAAAAAGGACCGGAGGGAGTACTAGCTAGGAGTCCGAAGAATGGAGGGAGTGGGAAAATATCAGGTGCTACCAACACTTAAGTGATACCATGATACGGGCTTCTGGGTCGTTGGATCTCAGATCCGACGGCTTCCGGAAGTTTATTGCACCTACGCGAAATTTTGAGACTTCCGGATGACTTTTTTTACAAAATGCTCAAGAACTTCGGGAGCCGTCGGATCTGAGATCCAACGGCTCCCAGAAGCCCGTATCATGATATCACCTAACACATGGTATCACTTGATAACTCCTGGAGGGAGTAGCAGGTACTAGTACGAGAAGTCCATCGCTGCACGCAGCGCATCCACGGCTGGCACATCATCGCGATTAGGACCAGCCGAAGTGCTACTTCGAGTATAGTGCACCGCCGACGAGCGTTATGTTTCGTGTATGTTGTATTCGTTGTACTGTGAACTAACAGTCGGACTGACGCAGCTACTGCAAGCACTGCGCATGTGCAGGCGAGAGGACGGAATACTACCGTTGCACCGCACATTGTATAACGTAAACACTTTACCCAGCTGCATGTATTTAAGGCCCATGCACCAGCCGTTGGCAGTACCGATCGTTTTGCACGCACACAAGCATATCTGCGTTGCCGCGTTCCGTCGACGTCGCCGTGCCGCGATGTCCCAGAGCTCATCCTCCGCACTAGCCGCTACGATAGATGTCTTGACGGTCGCACTAGCCGCTACGAGCGAAGACAAATAAAAGTAGCAATAGCTAAATTTCTCTAAACAAAACCCTAGTCTAACCTAGATGAAGACTATTTATTTATAAGTAGTATAGAAATCAACGCGCCGCCTTGATGCTATCTCCGTACACGTGATGGGCCGTGTAGCGGCGTGGCAGACTTGGGCCCATGCTCCTGGACTCTTTCTGGACTCCTCCGCCGTGTGCATGCATGCACAAGCATGCCCGTACATGGACGGGAAACTTGCATGCGTGCTCATCTCTAATTAAGTAAATCAAACTCCTGTCCTTATGTGATGATCCATAAGCACCTCTAGTCCATTCTCCAACGCCAATGTTTCTAAGCACAAATAAATGGAAACAAGTGCCCGAATCAGGGTGTAAGTCTGTTTTTGATTTGTCGTTTCCGCTTTTGCTTTGTGTCTTCTTGTTCATCATTCAGTTTTTGAACCAACGCAGAACGGAGGCCCGTGCAACTTTTAGTTGTGGGAGGACCAGTACGCCTTCTTCATCACCGGCGTGGGCATCAACCTTCTCATCGAGGTGGCCGGAGGTGGGAGCAACGTGATGTTCGGCATCGGCCGCGCCATGGAAGATGTACGCATCGCAGCTAGGAACACCATGATCATTTGCTTGTTCATGCTCATGCTGCTGTTTGTGGCGGGCAGTAACGTTCCAAAGAAACCATGCGCGACGTCCTCGGAAGAGCATGATTTGTGTAGAACTAATGAATTTAGCAGTCCCTTGTGCATTAGTAGCTCGGTGCGACCAGCGGGGTGCAATACATGTTTATGTAATCACCAATGTTTTAGTTAATCCCCGATTAGATGTAATAAAACATTTGTACTGTTATGTGTCAGAAGGCACACCCCGACCGACGACTTTTCTGCGTACGCGTGCAGAGGGCACATGTGGCAGCGGCCGGTCGGTCAAAAAGCGCATGCACCGCATGTCAGAGGAGAGGAGGACACGCGGCTGCCGCAATTAATGAAACGAAAACGCTGCCACACGTTGCGGCCATCCCCTCCCCTGCTTGCGGCACTGTACGTCACGAGATACGCCCATCTGCGAAACAGAGCGTCGGAGAAGCGCCCGCTCTCGCCGGGCGACGCATCAGGCGGCGGCTCCGCCGCGCAGCGAGGTACAGTCCGAACTTCAGGCCCCCGGCGCTTTCTGCAGCTCCCCCCACGACTAGACTAACTCCCGTGATGCTTCTCCGCCCCTTGCAGATTTGTCGATGGAAGAAGAACACCATCTCAGTGGGCAGATCCAAACTCCGGCCGCCATGGCGAGATAGGGAGAGCAGCAGGTAGACGGCGGAGAAGCAACAACTCCCGGAATCAGCATGAGCATAGACAGCCGGCACAGGAAGCAGCCCGCTCGCTGGTGCTTGTTCTTCGCCCACCAAGACGGAAAAGGGGCTCGTGCGAGAAGCAGCGCATGCGACTAACCTGTGTCCTCACCAACAGGTCCAGTCCGTACATAGCTTATCCGGTCAGACCCCCGGGCCCATGGAGTAGAAAAACAATGTCCCACTTTGCACGCCGTGCGTGGCACGTCCCTCTCCCGTGTCAGAAGGTACGACGGCCCGAGCCCACTGGACGGACGAGAGGCAGTGTATTTGTCTGTATCAGCGATGTATCTCCGCTTTACCCCTTTTGCAAATCAACTTGCACGCATCACCACGCGAACGCGCTGCCGCCGGATAACTGCGTGCAGGACATCCACTCTCCACTCTCGTACTAGTACTTGGTAAGTTTCTATGGGTTTAGCTTAGGAAACCAATAGGAAACACATGCACTCCAGCGACTCCGGCCACCCCGTAGTTAATATGCGTTGAAAGGCGCTGTACTGCCTGCCGCACACAAGTCAACACCAACCCTCTTCAATGCGATCTATACGTACACAATGGAGG